CAAACCCCACAACAACAACAAAAAACAAAAAAACGCCCATGATCATTGGTTTGAAAACAGATTGACATTATCTTTATGAAACGTTTTCTCCCATCAACGTGCTGCAATAAAGTGGCCTGAGATTTGTATCAAATGTCTCTGTTGTAGAAAATAAAAATATTATTAAGTTGTTCAAATGTGAGAAACCACACGAAAGAAAGTATGCCTGGATCTTAGTCTGTAATTATCATCATCATCGTAATCATCATCATCATCATCATCATCATCATCATCATCCATCATCATCATCATCAGTTTCATCAGCAGTGGCAGCACGTGCACATAAAAAACTCTGTTAAACAAGTGAATGTTTTGCTTTTAAAAAAAGGAAGAAAAGAAAAAAAAAGAAAAGACACATTGAGATATCAAGTAAGGGTAAACTACGGAGTAAGCATTTGCAAATAAGTTATTGACACTACCCTAATGGGAAGGATGGACCTGCTAAGATGGAACCAACTTATCAACATCAGGTTTCAGATTGGTCAGTAGCAGACGCAAATCACTACGCTTCGTCAGCAGCCTTTTCACTGCACTGAATCCCCTTTCCTCTAGATAGGAGGCGGGAAAAGAAGTGAACAACAACTTGATCTTTTCCCACTTGGATGGATATTTGTCTTGCACAACAGTTTTCAACCAGAATGACTGGTACGGCTTTTTGAACAATGGTTTGATTTCAAAGTCAAATTTTATCGTCAGAAGCTCTTCTTCAATTGCTACTTGCAAGTTATCATCTGTTTCAGTGTTCAATGGGTCCAGTATTCAGTATGGAATTTCCAGTTTTAAAAAAATCAGGAGGCTAAACCTTGTCTTCATATCAGCATGCAAATCTCTGAGGTGGTTGCTATATATATATATTTGTAGTTCCTCGTCAGAAATGCGCCCTTCTTTCAGTGTCTTCGTCAAGCTAGGAAACTGAGAAATTTTCTTCTGCCAATGTTTCGGCGGATCATTTCCAATTTCGACAAGAATGACGAAAACCTTGATCAGGTTGATGTCATCCCCCTGCAACTGAAAGTTGAACTGGTTGAACTTTGTAAAAAGATCTGTGAGGAGCGCAATGTTGTTCTTGTGTTCTTTCAGTTAATTGCAGAGATCTCTGTCTGTTTTCTTGAAAAAAAAAATCTCCAGCACAGAGTCAAACAGGCAGGACAATAATCGTGTTCAACAGTTTCCTTTCGAGAGCCACCAGACTTCAGTGTGCAAAAGAAAGCATTAAAAGTACTCGTCATTTTAAGTGCGCAGCTGTTGAAATAGTCTCGAGTTCAAAGCGTGGACTTTGATCTTGTTCACCCACTTGATGACTATGGCCAGTGTGTCACGCAGACTTTCATTCAGGTTTTTTGCCCCCAAATTCTGTCAGTGAATGACACAGTAAACAGTAAATACTCCATGGACTGATTTCTTCAAGAAGTTCATAAATCCACGTTTCCGACCTGCCATCGACGGTACCCCATCTGTTGCACAGGCAACTGTATTGGTCAGAGGGATCTGTTTCTCCTCGAAAAATTCTTGGACCACTTTGAAAATGGACTCGCCATTGGTATCTGTTTCCAACATTTTCGCAAATAACAAATTCTTGCATTATTTCCTCACCCTCTATGAACTGATATCCAGTTAAAGGCTGAGCTCACGTCTTTTCAGCATTTTGCACTGTGATTCCTCAACATTTGCTGATATTTCATCAATTCGTTTTTGAATGGTATTGTCGCTTAGTGGGAGAACTTTCAACACAGGCTCCGGGGCACATTGCAGGACTGTGCTGACCACCTGTCTTATGGCAGGCAATATGAGGTCCTCACCAATAGCATGGTGTTTGCCTGCTTTTGTAATTAGCTGAGATAAACTATATGTTGCTCGTAAGCCTTCAACAGCTTGATCGACGAGGGCTGCAAACATAGGTTCAACTGATTTTCATTTCTGAAAATTGATCTTTAGAGTGTTGAAGTATGCCAGATCTTTGTCAGATTTGTCGTGATGAATCTTCTTTATATGAGATTTGCGGGCTGGGAAAGAAAGTTCTTAGTTATAAGTATAAATAGTATTGTAAACTATGCCTAAGCTATCAATTTTTGTTTTTGTTTTTGTTTTTTATGTGGCTTTCACACCGCCCCCTTAGCGCCCACCAGCGCCCCCAATTGCCCAATTTCGCCACAGTGCCCCCCAAACTCTCGCCACCGCCCCCCTGGGGGCGGTAGCGCCCACTTTGAAAACCACTGATGTAGAGTATTCTCACCCAGCCCAAAGAAGGATTACAGTACCTTGGAAGTAGAGAATCTTTAGTAATACTAGTACTAGACCTACTACTAGGTCTAGATCTAGATCTAAACTAGATCTAGACCGAGATATTATATACACAGACCGCGTTTTTTTAAATTGAAGAAGAGTAGACCTACCATGTAGTGTAGTCTACAGTCTATGTCATAAGTAAGTACTATAAGATCTAGATTTAGATAGATCAACAAACCTATCTTTATAGTTAATAAATTCGCCTTAAATAAACAGTGTTTGGCTCTAGATCTAGATATAGATTCTCCCACCATACTAATTAACTTAACTGACTTTACTAGATCTAGATATAATGTATCAGTAGGATCTAGATCTGTCCGATGATGGCTTGTTGAACTCGATCCAAAGGTCAAAGGTTGTTTCTTTGCAGTCAGTCCCCCAGTGCCAAAAGCACAAATATATCAAGCATAGTAAGGAGTCTTAAAATCTGCAATCAAAATTTGAGAAAAAAAAGTATTGTTTCCTTGGATATGGCGGCCATATTGGATTTTGTTGACATGTCTTACGTAATGAATACCGCACTAAAATTATTGCCTATGGAAATTGATTGGGTTTTTTGCGTGCGTATTAACAAACATTAGATCTAACAATGTGTTTGTTGTTTTTTCCCTAAACGAATTAGAATATTTTTAATGAATTTTTTCCTGAGGTAGCATTCAAGTTTGCAAAAAATCCGTGAAAATCCACACTCAGACACCACCAACAAAAATCCATTTCATTTATTAAAAAGTTCAACAGACAAATTTTTAGTATTAGAATCTACATCTTCTCTTCATTCTGTGAAAATTTCATAAGGATTGGATGAAAAATGGTGGAGTTATTTTTAAAAAATAGAGAGAAAAATCGCGTTTCGAGAAAACGGCCGATAAAGAAAAAGAAAATATTGACTTTATTTATGAGGAAATGGTGGTGATGAACATGCCCGGTATCGGAACAATGCTGTTTTGTGGGGTTTTTATACCATAAAATAGTTGTAGGAGAGGCTGAGGAAGCTAAAAAGGTCTACATCTCAAATTCCCTAATTTTGAGCCGATTGAACTTTGGGGGTGTACCCCCCCCCCTCCCTTAACGTGTGCAACTTGCACGAGGTTTTTTCTCCCTTATCCGAAAAGGCTAGTGAAGGTGTAGATCTGTGGTTGAAAGACAGCAGTTCAGTAAGAAAGAGCCAAAGATAAGCAGTCGAAAAGCTGCAAGAAGAGTCAGGAACCCAGAAAGGAGAGGGGGGGGGGTGAGGGCAGAAAGTGGAAATGAAAACAGACAACAGAACATTGCTAGGGGGCAAAAAAGGGGGTAGGGGGTACAGAGAGTGGGGACAAAAGAGGACACGGTTAGAGAGAGCAGGAAAGGAGGCGAAAGCAGAACATTTTAGAGAAGAAAATTTTCCGTCGCTATCAGGTTTCGGACCCGGGACCTATTGCATTAGAGGCAAACACCGTAACCTCTAGACCACGAGGTCCTAGGGTTGATGGCATCAGGTAAAAAACAAAAGATCCCAAAACAAACAACAAAAACAAACAAAAACAAACGACAAACATAAAAACAATACAAAAAGAAAACTTTACATTTACATTCACAAGGACCTTGGCATATGGCCGAGCTTAACTTTCAATTTTAATTTATGAACATTTAATGTTCAACTGGCTTTGAATTTACACACACTCACATTCACACACACACACACACACACACACACACACACACACACACACACACACACACACACAC